AATGCAAGAAATTGTATATGGCTAATAAAGTGATCTTATAGTTGCCGGTTACTTTATTGGTCTAATTTAAGGTTGGGAAGACTATTCTTTTAAAATGATCACCAATGATACATTAAATATTTTAATGCATTAATGCATCCACTAATAATTATGAACGTTTTTCCATTTGCAAAGTACTACTAAATTTTGTACAAAAGATTCTGAAGGTTCTTGCTCTGCGGCTTGTATTTTCCAACAGAGAGAAAAGCTCCTAATGCTTCTTCTTAAGGAGCCCCTGCCACAATACGCACCTAGCTTATTTCTTAAGTGTTTTTTACTAACACAGTACACTTGCCTGTGTTGGTGATATTGTAACAGACTGGGGTTCCCCATTGGCAGTCCTACAGAGATCAAGCTATTGAAAATGTCTAATTCATTGCCTTTAGCTCAGTGTGCTTTTCTCCCCAGCCTACAGCTAGCCTACTTTAGTCAGGGTAAAGTTTTTTTATTTCTGCTGTCTGCCCTCCTTTGTACTGAGCCTTCAAGTCAAATGGCACTTTGTGACAAAGTAGAGCTATGATTTCAGCATGTTAAACACATTATGCACTTTAATGGTTCACATTACAATAGGTGCAGAATTGTGGCCTACAATTCTGTACTACTACCCAGCTTTGTCTTGGATGAAGTTTTGATGTATCAGATCCACTGTACCGAATTTCATAAGATTACACACAGTCTGCTGTTTTGTAAACAAATGCTTTCTGTGACTGAAGATAATTTGAAAACATTCCTGCTATATAGCTATCCAAAAGAAAGGAATTAGGCCGCATAAAATATTTTGTTGCAAAAACATTCTATAGCCTTGTATCTTTAAGATATCTCAAATAAAAAAGATTCATCGTTGGATGAGATGAAGAGAAATCTAACATTAATTAACAAGATGTACAAACAAATTTTAAACAAATTCCAGATATCTGATATGATAACATTACAAGAGATGGAAATAGTATTTTAAATAAAAGTTGTTGGGTGTTCCCTACAGTATTTGGTGATGTTCAAGTCTCTTACTATGTGGTGAGAATCTGGGGCAGTCCCTTGGTTGAAAGACACTCCCACGCATACTTTTTCAGAGGCTGTGGCATGTCTGTCACTTTGTCTGTAAGTAGGAGTTGGCATGAATGTCTACCCTTATTGTCTACTACCTTTTCCTGCCTAATTGAAGCCAGAGGCTTGCAGCTAAATGTCACTCAGCCATGCGGCCTCTGTTTTCAATGGGTAATGAGCCTCACTAACCACCCACAAGGAACGGGAGCAATCCCGGGGCAAAAGGTCACACAGTTCAGCCACCCATCAGCAAATTACTTCTTCATTACATTCACTCCTCAAAACTGATACATAGCCAGCTTGGACTGGGAGAAAACCTGATGGTGAAGGGCTCCATCTGTTGGATGACACAAGTAACAGCAAGGTAATTAAACACTACCTTTACTTTTATGACATTGATATCAATGGAACCCAAGGGGAAAATACGCCTAATAATACTAAGAGTCTTCATCTCCAAGCTGCAAGTGAACTTAATCAGTAGATGTTTCTACTGGGAATATTAGAGTCACTGAAGCTACTAAAGAAAGCCAGATCCCAGTGAAAGAGTTTGCTGCTAATTACTGATCTGAAGCAATTTTCTTACTCCAAGCTATTCATGAAGACTACATAACTGCAGTAATTATTTTCTACTAAGGAAGCCTTGAAATTATATCTTACAAGCCTGCTCAGCCACATGAGCTTTTTACTGTGGATTATTAATGATCACATTGTGTTTAAGAGACTTTTTTAAAATGTGGACTCAAGCGCAAACATTGTGGAAATAATTAGGCTAACACTACTAAATGCAAGTTGTTTGCATTTCTGTTTATGCAAGTCTATATTTTTGTAAATTGAATGCATGTTGTTACATCTAAGCACATAAGAATAGCAAAATGGTTACAAATGAGGCAAGGGCATTCTGCTTAACTGGCTCACTTTGTTGTTAGCAGCTAATTGGTCTGGGGATCTTATCCAGCACATTCATGAAAGAAGACAAGGTATTATCTTAAATAACAACATTTCTGGGTGGCTTGCTGAATTTTAAAGTCCCACGAAGATCAGTTCCTAGAAACTCTAACACATGAACTGCATTTAAGTAGTATTGAGTACTGAGCAACCATATCAACAAATTACAAACTTAAAATACTCTGGAAAAATACACTGGCTTCCATTAATTCTTTCCTGCAAATGGGCACAAGGAGTCTGTATTTGAGCTTCATGCTAAAAGCTAGATGGCCTCTAACACACTGCATTTGATTTAAAAAACAGATATACGAAAGAATATTTTAGCAGCATAATCACTGAAAGAACCACATTATTTAATTATTATTAGGTCATTGAGGTTATTTTCAAAGTCCAAAAAGTAACAGGTTCTTGGCAATCACAGCACTCAAGCTTTGCTTTGTTGGCAAATCCTCCTTGCAATTAAACAAAGTAGAAAGGTTAATAAAAGAACTGCTAGAAGAAACATGCCACATTCTGACCACCCCTTTCCCAAGCAATGTGCTAATCTGGAGGGAATTGTGTTCTTTATGTCAGAGTGTGAAGCCGGTTTGTCTAGACCCATCCAAAAGGGGCACTGGAAGTACAGCACAGTGACTCACTCACACTGGGAAGAACTTTCAATGGAGCTGTTGAAAGAAGATCTCAGTCCACAAGCGGGACTGAAATGGGGCTCTGTTTGTTGTTAAAGTGTAAAATAACACAATAGTTCTGTGGCTGATAAGGAACAGGACTCTCCTGGATTCATACAGAGGGGGTGGCTGGGGAGCAGTAATGCAGGCTAGAAAAGCTTCAAAAACTTATGAGAACTTCCCAAGCATATACAGTATTTATGATGAAGGATTACATTATTCCAATCGTTGCATGACCTGTGTTGCCTACCATTGTGCATTTTGATTGCTCATTTGTTGTAAATGGATGGAAGTGTTTTCTACTTAATTGTACATGTACAGTACCTAGTATGAATATACTTGCATAGAGTGTTTAGTCTGGCCAAGGAGGGGGGCAGGGACAAATTCCAGGAATCTGATGATGTGTCATTCAAGCTGTCCTGCTGCACTATATTATTTTGTTAACCAGTAAAGTTGTACTAGTTTAACATTATCTTCTTTTGTGGGGACAGTAACTTTGTCAAGAGCATTCACACTGTTATTTGCAGAGGTGATAGTGCTCTCAGACATAACTGTCTTTACTAAGACCAAATTCTGATGTTTATTTTTGTTTTGTTTTTCCTCTGTATGCTTCAAAACTGAAATTCAAGTTTAGGTCCTAGATCATGTTATGGGGTTTTCCTACTGTATATAACCAACTCATTTTTCTTGAGATATTTTTTGTGTGTTTTTTTTAGGGATAAATGATCAAGATAAATGACAGGAGCAGAAAACCATACTGTATGTCTTAACTGTAACAAAATTTTTGAGAATTTATGGTGGTCGAAGACTCAGAAAATACCAAATTATGATAAGAAAAAAGTCCTATTCTGTATTGTGGAAGACTTGAAGCTTTTTGATTTGTGCCAAAAAATTGTATTACACAACACCAGAAATATTAAACCAATATTAAATGTTCTTGCATATTTAATTTGTGAATTGTGTGTCAAAATTAATTGTAAATAATGTGATTTTACACAAGTCTGAACAGAACACTAAATTTCACTCTGGGCTTGTCATTAATTTCCTAGGTGTGTGCTGCACTTTAGAAGAGGGTGAAATTGGGTCCTCTTTTATGTTTTGAGATGAAAAACTCAATTAAACATAGGGAATGGTTCCTAAGATTTTGTAAAATTTTAATTACCACTTTTTATATCACAGTTACTTAATAAGAAACACGTGACAACTGCACAAAGAGTAAGGATACCCATAAATTTGTTTTTTATGTGTCCTAAAAGAAAATGCCGCCATCTGGCGGGCACTTATATAAAAGCATGTCAATAACGTCAAATTTCAAAACAACAGCCGGGCACCAATGAAAGACAAAGCCGTTTAACCACTTGTAATTCAAATTCACCAATATCCAGCATTATCCCGAAACAATCGATTTTTTGTTCACATAAATTAAAATATTTAAATAAAGAATTTAATGCGTTACCTTCGACGTCTCGTCAAAAACATCTGTTCCTGTAGTTCTTCAGTCTTTTCCAATTATACTATCGTGAACTAAATATGCAAAGTTTATCCCACTTTCTGTCTTGCTAACCAAACTGAAAGCACAGGACTTCTCTTGGCTTGTCTGCTAGTCCATCGCAGGTTAATCCTCTAGCCATGATGGTGCTCATTTACGCAGCTGGTTGGACAGGAGCAATCAGGATAATGCAGCTTTTCCAAGGATACATAAGCAATACTTATAACCCCATCTAATGGGTCCAGAGTCATAATTGCTTTCCCTTGCAGTGTTCAGTGATGGAAAGTTAGTTTCCATAAATTAATATATTGATTTTTGAATGGTGAATTTTATGTTATACAGTAGCACTCAAAATGTATTATTTTATGTAATTGTTCATTCACAGTGGCCAGTTCTGTCACAGATTTCACAACAGAAAAAAATAAACACTGTCAACTTTATACAAAAAGTTTAATTTAATCAATGCATATCAAGTTCCCTGTTCCTCAAGTGTTGCATGACTTTGTAATTTAGGCTTAAATTTTTGTGACAAACTCTCAGCCTTGCTCATAATTACTCCTCCATCTCCTGTGTAACTAAGTTTCCAGGATCAACCATTTCTTTCCACTTACGGATTCTCTTTTACTGATTGAATAGACTGATCAAACAATTACATTATCAAGGAACAGTCTGTAACAAAGGTAAAGTATGAGTGGAAGACTGAATAGTCCTGTATTTGAAAACCTCTGCCTTTTGAGATGTGTAACAAAAGCAGAGAGAAGGGGACAGAAAATCTTAGATCCTTAAAGATAATAATAAACATACAAATTTGCCGCTTCTTTAAAAATAGTTTAATGAAAATTCTCTCTTAATCAGTAAATTCTATCTCCTAGAGAGAAAGCACTTTCATATGACATTACATAATCAATATACTTACTGTATGTGAAACCAAATGATAGCTGACTGCATAAAATAATGATATATTTCTAAGCTGAGTTACTATATAATATAGGTCAATCCCACATAAGACTGAAATTACTGGAACATTGTAAATAATACATTACTTATTTGACCACTTTACATCTTTTCTAAAGAAGCATACTACTGTATATGGAGATTAGGTTGAGTTTGTTCACAATCCAACACAACCAAAATAAAATACCACATTATTTCTACGTGTCATTAGTACTACATCTATGTTTTCATATACAAATACTCGGTGAAAATACAACCGTTTAATTTTTACATCAATAGCTCATTGAGCACAGCATACACAATGTTATTTACATGAACTGTAGGTTTGTTGATTGCTAGAGTAGTGCAGTTCCTAGGAATAACAAAACACTGTGGCCACGTCATGTGATTTCACAAAACACCAGGTTCCCAGTATATGGTATCTGACATGAAATTGCCAAATTGAGTAATAAAGAATCTGTTTAAATAACCATTCCTGAGTATCTGGATGCAATTAATATAAGAACAGGGAAATGACTATACCCTTCTGGTTTAATGAAAATTGCTTGGTTGCTTTGGATATGTTAGAAGAAAGTCTATGACAGAATAAATGCTGCCTGGAAAATGAGATGTTTTATTTCAAGAATCAATATCTCAAGAAAGAAGAAAACCAGTTATGTGCTTCATCTTAGAAGACAGAAGGTCACCAACCATCACGTCTGTCTGATCCATTTGTGGAATTATTTTCACATTTTACATTTGGCTACAAAAAAAGAAATTCCAGGAAGGAATAAACTGCACATCTACTGTATACAATGACTGCAGCTCATTGTCTTCTGTAGAGAAGACAACATTGGAGGTGATGACAGAGAGAGTGGTGAAGCATTTTATTCACTGTGGAATATTGCTTCGCCCTTAACTGCACTGATGGATGACATTGCATATGGAGCTGCTGTATTGTCCTTTGCCAGCACGTCTGCAGCTGCACAAGAACAGTGGCAAAACATCCCACAGCACATGTATCTTGAGGCTGATCAGGTCTATGCATCAGCTCTGCCAGGGTTGTGTTAATGCTGCAGGAGATTAAACTCATATTCATTTTTATCTTTTTTTTAAATTTTAACTGTCACATTAAATACCAAAAACATGATTTGTTCACAATTGTGTCATTGTGTTCAATATCTATGTTTAAACTATTGCCTGAATATAACAGAATATTGTTTCTTTGGACCAAATGTTATCATAATTTGTTTGGTTGTACTGTAGGCCACTGCTTTCAATAATTTTACAGTGAAGGGTGCACTGTAATTAGTGTTGAAGGTGAGACAAGCTTTAGGCTTAGAAACAAAGCTTTTCTAGACAGTTTTAAATAACTAAACATTGAAGGGGATTGATAAGCTTAACAATATGATTATTTTCTTTTTCACAGAAATAGTAGCACCAGGAATTGTGTATATCAATCCAATTTAATTAATTGCTCCACCTGTAACACATACAGTGTATAGTGTACTACAGAGAATGAGGATGGGCAGACAGGCTCTTAAGACCCACCCATCAATTGAACCATTCTTCATATCACATTCCCCAAGCTTCACAGCTTCCGACAGGAGGTTTAGTGCAGACTAGATGAATGGTATGCTCCTCATTGTCATCACTGCAGGCCTGCAGGTGCCCGGCAAATCGCAGGACTCACTTTTGTGCAGAGAGAACCTTAGCCAACTATACAACCCTACCCCTTGAAGCACTTTAGCTGCTCCTTGGACAATCAGCCTGTGCTCTCAATGCACACTTTTATTGAGCTATACAAGAAACCATTATTGTGCTTTGTCATATTTTTCATTTTATTTATACAAGTTAATTAAAATTACCCTGATATTGTAAGTACAGATAATAAAAAAATTGTTTTGTGTCTAGCATTAAATGGGCATAAAAAATACAACTGAATCATAGAAAACATGCTATCATTCATCTGAAGTCATTTGATGAACCCCTGCAAGAAATGCAGTGGAGTGCATCTGGAAATCCCAAAGAATTATTGCGCGGTGACGACATTCCAGGTTGTTCGAGCCGGCTTACCAGCACGGTGACGTCACTGCCCTTCCCTGTGAATAGCCTTTCCCTTTAGCTCAGCTGGCTGGGTCCCTGTTGAGTGACGCCGGAGGCCCGGGTTCCAGTCCCCAGCGGCAGCGGCGAGTGCGCATACCCACATGAACCTGAGAGCGCTACAATAGCCTGCCCAACCACTGGGTTATAATTTAATACCTTATATTCCATTTTATTTGCCTTACACTTCTTCAAGTGTATTTACAAAAATTATTATGAGCTACTTAACAAGTGTGATGTTTTTGTTTCATTAATAAAATACAGTACCCAATTAACACATTTTACAAATAAACAGCAGGAACATCTGTGTACTGTTGGCACCTGTCAAATTTAAAAACACACTCCTTTTAGAGAGATGCAATTTTGTTTCACCTTTCTAATTGATTCAGTGAGCAAGAAACATATTACTTAAGTAATTTGTACCTATATGATAAATGTAAATAATTAAAATTTTTAGAACACATATGTGTGAAACAATTTGATATACAGTATCTACAGTAATATTTACTAGTGAAAATTAGAATTCAGTTACTATTTAAAAAATAGCAAGGAAGGGTGTTCCATTAGATCATTAATCAACACTGAATCTACAATTTGTTTCAACAAGAAATAGTGATTAAAGAACTACTCACACCTACTTATAGACTTAAAATTGTTCAGCAGTATATTTTCTAGTATAAATTACAGTTATTAACTTTGTAATGAACAAGGATCAAGACATGAACCTCTCAGTAATGCAGCTAAAACATTTGGCAACCATCAACAATGGTAAAATACTGGTTTGGTGTGAATTATCATGATTACTAACACTTCTTATACACTAGAAAGGGGTTTCTCTGTGTATTTGATATTGGCTTATGTGGTAGGATTGTGGGTAAAAAGACATTTTTTCCATCTGTTTCAGTAAATAAATTAGGTTGATTAGGTACCATGCACTACAGTGAAATCTGTACATCAGTTTTCCAAGACTATTCTTCACAGAAATGTTACAAGGTCTTGTGGCTCTACTTTAAAAAAAATCTTGTAGATTTTATCACAGCTCTCCAATTTTTAGATTGGATTATTTTATGTTTTTAAGATTGACTAGACTTCTTGATAGTAAGGGAAGGAGTGTAATCACAAAATCCATGAGTTACTGTAGTTGCAAGGAAGCCTGGTGAGTCAGGGCATCCACTCATTGGCTGCCACAGGACTCTACTGGGCTTTTCTAAACAGTGTGCCTTCATCTCCTTGATATTATAATTAAGATATTCACTACAAAGAATAAAGGAGGGTAATTTGGCAATTCCTAGTAATGAAACTTTATCATCTGCATTATTTTGAAAAGGATGCTGACACACAATCCAGTGGTGATTCCCTCTATCAGTCAGGCGTCAAAACCTGTTGGTTTGGGTATTTCATTACGCTGGCATCCAGAATTTGCTTTTGTTTCATAATTGAAACCAAACTATCAGGAGGCTCATTATCACACAGGGATATGGGAGCAAAGCTGCTTTGGACCACAGGGCGCTGTTGCAGAGGTCAGATTCACAGCAGTGGATCCTCACCCCCGGGAGCTCCTGCTGGTGACAGTGCCGAGAGGTGGCACAGCCGCTGGTCAGGACGATTCCTAGGGCTGCTGCAGCAAGAGAAAAATAACACTGTATTAGACCACAAAACACTGATGTCAAGAGGAACAGGTTGGTCACAAAACGTCCCCACTTTTACTGTTCAGAGTGGGGCACTCCTCCTATTGCTGGCCTCAGAAAAGGACAGGAAGACTGAAAGGAAAAGCGAAGACAGCTGGCAGGCACAACACCTGTTCTGCTTTCTCCTTTTTCTGTTTAATTGCTTGAAAAAAATTAAAGCATAGAAGGAAATTTAAATCAGATTTACAAAAAAAATGTTGATTTCAAAGGTATTAAAGCAGATTTCAATGGATCTTTCAGGAAATTGGTACAGGAGTTCCTCCGATGAATATATTGCTTAGCAACAAGATGAACAAAATAGGCTTAATAACCTAGTCTCAAATAACCTTGTTTTATAGGTTTTCAAGTTCTGGATGGCCTCCCACTTACACAGTCAAAGCAAAATGAAACAATTAACATTGAATTATAACTGCGAGATTGCTTTCAGCTGTTAAAAAAATGTATGATTAAGAAGTATGAAGTCTCTAACTGGCAAAGAGCTTAGAGCAATTAAAAGAACCTACAGTAATTATGCAAAGTGTCGATTCTTTAATAAAAATCACAGAAGATCCTGGCCCCTCAGACACAGCCCTGATTTGGCAAACGAAAACATTAGGAAAAACAAAAGCAGAAACATGATCTGAATCCGTACAGACAAGATCGTACAGCAGGAATCATACAGGATTTTGATCTAAATATCTTTCTCTAAAATTGTTTGTATAACAATTGTCCACAGTTATTTGGCTTTTTGTATTTGACATCCGTGTTCTTTAGTGCATAACGTTAGGAGAAGGCATCCAAACTGTTACTAAACAATTATATTATTGAATATGTTTGCAAAAAGAAAAATTGTTTGTCCGGATTGTATGCAATTGACTTTTTTGTTTTTACGCTTTAGATTTATTATAAATTCTTGAATTTTACCAGCTGCAGTGATGAGGCATGGCAGGCAGTTTCAATGTTGTATGAAAATCAATACCAATGCATAAGTACAAACCATAAAATAAAGAACAAAATCTTTTATCTTTAAAACATCCATTTTATAATTGCTCCATCTGATTCAGGGTCACAAGGGAGCTGGAGCCTATCTTTGCAAGCAATGTGCACAAGGTAAGGCTCACACGCACTCCAATCTCACTCCAGGGCCAGTTTTCTCAGAAAATAATTAACCGGTATGTCTTTGGACTGTGGGAGGAAACTGGAGTACCCAGAGGAAACCCACATGAGCAGAGGAAACCCACATGGATTGAACCTGTGGTCCTAGTACAGTGAGGCAGCAATGTTTACCACCTTGCCACTCACTTTTCAAAATAAAGAATATAATGTAACGGAAAGTAAATTTAAAAAGAAGATTTATGCATATGGCAGTGATGAAGTCAAATTGCAGAGTTTTATTTATTTTCAAAGGGTAGTCGCAAACCCTTTTCAGGGAATCAGGGCTGCAGCATTATTGTAAAATTCTGTATCTTTGAAAAGGAGGACAACACCTGTGCCAGTGCTTGGTAAGGTACAGGCAAGTTCCTGTGATGAAAGCAAGTCACAAAACAACAGCAGCTTTTCTGGACTGGCAAGGCTTCCAGACTTCAGGAACTTCAGGATAAAAAATTAAGTTTTGCAGTCAAGATGTGTAATAAATTGATCTCAGATTCTGACACATTATTATACTGTTGTCATCAACATTATTTGATACAGAATAGACTAGAGTCTCGCTCTCTTGTTCAGATGTATTTACTCATCTTTTTTAAAAGCTTCAGTTTATACAAAGTTATACAGTACTTCTGGGAAGAATATTATTCTTCCTTCCAACTATCAGGATGGTTGCATAGAATATAAAGTTAAAAAATGAATGACAGTTTGTAGTTTTTTTTGTCATTTACTTTTCTTGCAGTTAAATGCTAATTTGACATTCCTATCCATTTCCCTTGTCTCTTCTCTTTTACCCAGTTTTATTTAACTTTGAAATTTGAAATTACAGAAAATGTTATTTAAGGGAGCCTGACAATGTTTGCCAGAAACATTGGCAAAAACATTACTACTGAGATATAATAAATGTTACAAACAAGGGGAGACATAAAACCATAAAGCCCATAAATCCTTGGATTGTTTGTAAAGTAAAACAATACCATCAGGTGTCCTCTGAATTTGTCAGAGAAAAATTTCAAGGAACAAGTAAAGGAAAAGAGAAGAAAAGAAACACAATGTTTCAGCTGTGGAGCCTTTTTTGTCACGGATGTCGGAAGGGATGAACCGTGGGATGGAAGGAGAGTGGAAAAAGACCCTATGCGTAGCGGCAGGATGGGGGTTAGCCCAGGCTCAGCAGTTCAGGAAATGCCGTATAGAAACCAATGCCCTCAGGCAGCGGACGTGGGGCAACATGGTGCTAGGCGGGTTTCAGGACATCCGAACGTCAATGCTGAGCGAAGAGGAATGAGTGACATGGAAAAATATAGAGCTCCAGACAGAGAGACACTGGAAGGACAGAAAACCACAGGAAACTAGGGACAGGACAGAGTAGGAGCGCCCTCTGGCTGCAGAGAGTGTGACATTTCTCAGGTGTTCGCAGCCTATGCATGCTGATACAGCTACCTACTTGAACTTCAGAGAAGAATTTAGCTCCCTTTCCTTTTTTACTTCCTCGTTTGAAAAATGCCACTCTTTCTGTTAGTTTCAGCTATTTTAATCATTTCTATGGAGGAAAGACATACACGTATGTACTCATCATTTTTTGCTAAATGTGCCAATATGAAATTTTGACATGGTAGACATTTAGTCCAGCTTATTTTTGATGTTGCCAACCAAATTTCTTAAGGAAAGGAAAATGTACATTATAAGGATCCCTTTGAATCATTTATAATTGTCTGAATACTGTACATAGAGAAAACTTGTGATAAGTGTGATCCCAGATATAGACCCTTCTATCTCTGGGGTTATACAACAAAAGCATAACAGATATAACATAACATAACTGATGCTACTTTGAAACATAAAAACTAATGCTTAATAGCAAGGCCTGTGTCACTTCACCTATATGACCACAATGTCAGGGTGCACACAAGTGTGAGAATTAAACTGAAGGCCCACAGTGAGAAAGTCTATTTTTTATTGTACAAAAAACAGACTTACTGCTCTCTGTTTTAATGCAGAAGCGATGCTTGAATCCTTTATGTGAATGAGAACATGTGATGACCTCAGGATTGGAGCAGCCAACATCCACATACTTCCTCCCCATGATAATGTTGCAGCCATAGCACTGGAGTCCATTTGCTTGAGATGATATAAGAAAGAAACTGTTAATTGATTTATTTGCTCCTTCCAATCTCATCAGCTAATCAGGTAGACAGTAGAAAGAGGGTTAAAAATGGCTACTTCAAAAATTAAATAAAATATTTAAAAAATCAAAATGAGGAATTCTGCAATATACCAAAGTTTGCCAAGTTACGTAAGCTCATGCTGGTCTAAAATCATCAGCAATAGGGTTGTAAATGTGAATCAGCACTGTGCTGCTTATTGTGACCAAGTTGAAGCAACACCCTTGATTTAATGCTGTCAATCACTTCTTATTGCTGTCAGAAGGACAAGCTGATCAGCTTTCATATGGATCCAAAACTTTCAACTATATAAACAAATACTGTCCACACATTTAGAGTTTATACTCAAATAATCAGACCAAACATGGCTGTTTATACGGAATATACTATATATACTGATGGAATAAAGATCACTCATCACTCATCGGTCCTGCTCTGGTGTGGTCACTCAAGATGATCTTGGACGACCTTCTCTGCAGTCAGGACACAGTGGGGCGGCTTACTCCATAGTGTCTGGCAATGCTGGCACATGACATACCTGCCTGCAGCATGCCAATGGCCCTCTCCCTTGCTTCTGGTGACATTTGAGGCATTATGGAATGCACAGAAAACTGACTAAGTGGGGCCTTTCCTGCAGTGACCTAAGCTTTGAATTGAATTGAGGCCTTTTTAAAAGTGACCTGATCAGGCATTGTTCCACCTGGACCTCATTGAGTAAAAGTGCACCTAACAAGCTTTCGTGTGATTGGCAAGTTGCAATGCCTCACTGTACAAACTGTATTTCTGGTCAGAGGGCTTAAAACAAACAGACAACTTTTTGTGAAAGTACATAAGATATAACTATAGTATTCTCATTCCAGAAAATGTTGTGTTTTTTTTTCCATCAGTATATACAGTATGATATAATTTGTGAGCTCTCAAAACAGTCCATAGTGATTAAAAATGGGTAACCAACTCTGAGTCAATTTCAATTAGACTCTCTGGGTTTCACCTTAAGTTAATTAATTAGTGCAAACAGTGTATCATGTACACACATCCTAAATGCATAGGCTTGTGTTTTCTGTTTGTATTTTTCTTGTTTTTCCTCTCACCTTCTTTTGACCTTGTCTTCCAGACTTTAAGACTTGGATGTCCATCAGGTTAGCATCTTAATTCAATTAAGGCTAAAGGGATAGCACACAAATATCCATCTTTATCCACCCACTATTTAAATATTTTATCCTCTGCTTATAAATGAAACACTCCAAATATTAATATGTGATGCTGGCTCCTTGTTCTTTGCTATTCTTTGCTTTTTTAAAGGTAATAGGGATGATGCTGAGCTAAAAGGACTCCAAATCTCCACTTGTGATTTCATTGGCAAATTAATCCCAAAAGCCATTCTGATAAATACTGCAAATCCTTTGAAATCAATTAAAAGTATCTGACATCTGAACAAATCTACATCTATGCATAGCAAAATAGACAAACTGTGTAGAAAACTATAGTGAAATCTACAGAAAATTGAGAAGAAACGTAAAATAACCAAGCACCTACTGTAACAATTTACATATTTTTACAATGCACCAAAATAAATATTTTGAATGTTGCCTTTTTAAACAATGCTAATTCAATATATTTTATTTCTTATAGTTCATTGTTCATTTTTGTATTTTGTAATTTATTGTAAATTTTCTAATTAAAATAGTTTCCAAATTTTATATATATCATTATCATCATCATCACAATAATGGTAGTTTATTTTTCTGTGAATTCCACAGAACAGTGAGATAAGAGACCAAATTTGCCAAGATAATTTTGTAGAGACCCACTGAATGTGAATAATATGATGTCTTCAGTCATATGTGACATTGATCTAAAAATAATAAAGATAATAATTTAAAACAAATCAGGGAAGAGACAAATGCAAATGGGAAAATAGGTTCCAAAGACCCAGCTTTTCAAACTAATGGGCGATGATTCTGCATTGGAACTCCAAAGCTGACAAAGCTGATTAAATATTGCCTTTGTTAATAATATTGAAAAATCCATATATTACTGTTTTTTTTAAACTGTTTTACTACAAAAAAGGCTGAAAGCATCACATTTTAAGAAATGTCACATATCGTTTCTTGTGAGACCAAACATTCAACAGAATGTGAGCAATGTGTCTAGAAACTTAGTGATGTCAATACTGAGACATTCTTTTCTGGACACTGTTCTGTGAGATGAACCTCATTAAACAAACAAGCTAAATCAATTTTATTGAATAACTAAATCATTTTGAATCTCAGACCAGCTTTCAGTAAATATAAAGCCATAACACAGCGTTTCCACAGGCCTCCCAGAATCTTGTAGTACAGTAAGTGAAACACTGTACATATTGTACAAGAAGGAGAACATACAGTACACACACAAAAAGTATGTATATGCTCACAGTTCACATTTATGATTTGAAATGCCCCAATACAGTCTACTGATATAATAATAAGGAACAAAAGAATTTTACCTCTTAAATAATTATAATTTCCATTCAAATGACAAACTATTATGAAGTGAACAATTCTGCATTACTCAGATGGAAGATATTAAACATACTACAGTACTAAGAAAAAATACTATTCAGTCCAACATTCTGGTAGAGGTGCACTGAGATGTACTATTAAAAGGGTGTTGGAGACCCTGATGTGGACTTTTCATTTACATTTCAAGAATGTTCACTAGAATAGTTCTTATGTTGGGATAGCTCCCTGTATAGAATAACATTTCATAAAAAATGTTACAAATTGTGTTAAAGTTTAGAGCCCACTAATTCTCAACATTATGTTAGCTTCCTGAGTGTAGTAATTAAAAACAAAAGGACTACTGAAAATCTGAGATAAGTTATGTTTGGCAATATTATTCTAAGAAAACTAATTCAGCTTCTGATGTTAAAATCCAGATGTGTGAATATACTGTAAGTATCATCTTGCAAGTCAACATTATAGTCAGCTATGCTGTTCCAACTGGTTGTTTTCTAGAATAATAATAATCAAGGTGACAGAAATAGTCATAATAATACTTATTATTAAATGTACTCAGTTACAGACTTAGATATATCTTCACTTTTCAACAATTTACTCTTTCCCTCCGAACGTTCTGTAACCCACTAGGAATACATTTTCAGTATTCCTCATCACAGTGGTGAACTTAGGATACCATCCGATCATTCTACAATACTTTGCAAACACTCGTTGTGTTCTGAAAAAGTGTACTTACCCTGCATGGAGAAAAATGATGACATGAATATTAATCCTAACCCATATATAAGACAAGTTTTCAAAATCATTGATGCAACACTTCAGACTGGTAGGCTGTTTTTTTATCCTCTAGCGACTGCGTTGTGAGGGTAGATTGACATCCACATTAAATCCCTGTGAGGCAGTGATTTCCTCCAGAGCCCTCAAAACACCAACCACTTCTGTAGACAAAAATATATAACAGTCTTGAGCAGAAGCAGTTATATATATATTTTTAAATCATCTTAAGCAGTCGTAATGGAAAGAAACAATTGTAGACAGGTTCCCTGCTTAAGAGGACTGACCTTAAGTGTTCTTCAGTTTCTCTTCCCTTCTCTGCAACGAAAACTGGGACCCTCAGCTGAAACATAACTAAGAAACAGGATTATATTCTGATTTATAATCCATTGCTTCTAATAATAGAGCTATCTTATCGTATCATTGCCCTGCAATAATTTTTGCATTAATAAATTCAGAGGCTGGCCCTGTATGCTTATTTATTCCAACCCTCTCCTCTTGCTGGGTTATCTCTGCTTAGTAATAGTATTCTGCTTTAGTCCTAGAGGGAAATTCTATCTAATCAAGATTTAAAGACTAAATCCTTTCTTAGAGCCTGTAATGCTATGGATAAAGCAGGATTTGCCTTAAGCTGCGTTTTCCCCCCACAGCATGTAACATATGGTCCTGCTTGATAGGTCACTGAAAGCGACTTAGTCACTCATATCTAGATATATTTACAGACCAAGTGACAGATTTCCCACATTGAAAAGCTTAATTTCTTTTAAAGAAGCCTTTCATTATATAATACATGCTTAATCCCTTTCCTCCACTTTGAACTTTCTCTGGAGTGTTGCAAGCTCTGCTCTGATCTGTGTTTGAATACAGTTTTAATTGAAAGTGAATCTGCAGGGCAACCCCGGACTCGTTGATTTGAACTTTTCACATGAACACTCCCATTGAGTCCCTGAATGTAAAAAACAGGAACTACAACTTGTCCAATCAAAGAATCAGCACTTCAGGCAGAGACATGTGATGTTCTTTTTGTGGTTTTTCTCAGGCTGTGTGTATTTCTAGCTTTTCAACACTCACATGTTTTTGTCTTTTGAGAAAATAAAATAATTAAAATAACAATAAAATAACATTGTGTACTTCAATAAACTGGTCATTCTTTGTATACAGCAAATTATACTAGTATCAATTTCAATAGAATATTAGCTAACTGAAAATAAATGTTACTTAAGAAAAGAATATGGATCACATGTAGTAATGAAATGCTCAAGATTTCATTCATTCATGGTCTATGCAAGTTTAATTGCTGCCACCTGCTCAATTGGTTAATTACCAAAAGTCATAAACTCTACAGCTTTAACTCAACAAACACAGTACATTCTGTGTAAAGTAGTTTCTTTTCTTTTCCTGGTTCCATTATCAACACATAAATTACCAGTGAAGGCAAGATTTATTCCAGTGTGTAACCTTTAAGTTAAAAGCTTCTTAAAAGTTAAAGTTAAAAGTTACTGTAAGTTAAAACACTGGCTTTTCTAAGGAAATGTTAGTCCAGGAAAATTTAGATACTTTGTCATCATTTGAATATACTCTCAAAACAGTTATCATGACAATCATCTGCTGAACATGCTTCAATTTCTGTTTTCCATCTGCAGTTTGTAGTGTTAGCACAAGTTGTTCTTATGACACCAGTGGAATCTCCATCTACAGTCCCTGTGCAAGGATTTGATGTGAATTGAAGAGTTCTCATGCAAAAAGGAGAATGTCAATTAGTTATCATGTCATAAAATTCAGTGGGGGGGTGGGGGGGGGCAGCAGGAACTGTTGATATGAACACTGACTGTCAAACAGTGGAGCACTTGAGTAAATGGTGTGCACAACTGACATGCTATAATGTATGTCAACAGAGTGTGGTTACATTGGGCACAACCTGATCTGCATCCTGGTAGAACTTGGAAGCGTGGTCTGTTCAATGGTATCTGAACAGTTGTAGTCATGTTTGTTCTTAACAAGCTATAAAATTGAAACTGACAAATTGTTGAAAAGCCCTCCACAGCTGTGTTTGAACATCTTTATGTGGAGAATGAGTTAACTGGAACATTATAGTTGGAAGGGGTTAACCATATTTTTCAGTGATGGGTCAGCACATGCCCTCTAGAGAGGAGACAGAAGAAATGTGCTGATCGGGTGCCATCTTCCCATGGATGGCTGAGCATTGTGGATAAAACTGCCACAAGGAAAGCCAGCAGTCCTTCAGCCATATGTCTGAACAGCAGATGCTGAGCACAGTAATATTCCATATGACATGCCAGAGACCATTGCCGAGAGACAAAAAAAAAACATTTTGCCGCCAAGATGAATGAATAAAAGATCACGTGACACGTCACCATAAGTGCTATTTCTGCAGTTCATGCATACACAAACTCAATGTTTGATACAGGCTGTCTTGAATTAATGACCTTTTAGTTTTTCCCCATGTACTGAGAAGCAGTTAAGTTTTAAATTAAAACGTGATCTTGTCCTACTTAAAAATCATATGCATATCCTTTTAATTCTCATAAAACACAGAGGGCAAACCATAGAACTTGGAACAAAAAAAATGTTTTTGCTTTCTTAATTTCAGAAAAAAACACTTCTGAACATAGTATGTTTTTTTTAATATAAATGTTCAGTCTTACAGGTACTGTATGTCTTGTTTCACTGTCCAGAAAGAGGATAAATTCAGTCCATAAATTCATAAGTCCCATGAGCATCATTTACTTCACCCTGTACTGAATATTTCAGTGAATAAGAGGAGTGTTTCAAATCTTATATATGTAGAATCTGTACATTCTGTATATATTTTTCTTAAAGCAATATACATGAATTAAGCAGAAAGCATTTCTTGTATCAGCTTCACCATGACTGATATTTTATTGCTTTGCATGCACTGTGATAGGTTTCTTTACCAACACTAATACACAGTACAAGGTAAAGCATAGCACATGTTCTCAGTGTATTACTGGGAATGACATTTATATAAGACAGAAAAAAAAAATCAGAAAAAAACAGTCGTAAAAAAGTGAAAAGAAAGCAGACTTCATGTCATGAACGCAGTCAAAATAAGATTTAAAAACACATCTTAAAGAATTTAAAATATACAAATTGGCTGTAGAATAGTTGAAGAATGCTGGTCATTTTCTTAATTAAAAATAAAGCATTTTTTCTGAAACCGGTTGAGACACACATGGATTAGCCAATCATAATCTTAGCAGCTCATGGTAGCATGCTGAAAAGATAAGAAAAGAAAGGCAACGTTTCACCCGAAGAAGGCTCCACGGCAGAAACGTTGCATTTCTTCTCTTCTCAGCATGGGATAAACCTTTACTTGTTGCTTTGCAGTCCACGCACGCTGACACAGCTACCTTCTCGAACTACCTACACTTCACTAAGTTTAGAAATGAAACTAACCAGTGTGTTCAGGTTTTAATTTAATTTGGTCCACTGCCAACTAGGACACATTTTCAGATTTGTTTAAAAACATGTTTATTATACTGGTAGCTGAAAAAAAAAAACCTTTTAATAATGTTTTAAATAATAAAAACAAAACAAATCTGGAGCAAGGTTGTTTAACAGGAATTCCATATCTACTGCATTCACATCAGTAAAATAATCTTCCAATACATTTTCTCCACCGACAGGTGTTAAAAAACATCTGCCTCAAAGTGCATAAGGCATACAAAAAACCCAAGTAAACCCAAACTAAAAATGCTCACAAAACATATGACACACTCTTTTTACAATCCCACTTCAATGACAAATTCTGCCATGTAAAAGACACACAGGAAAACATGAGGATTTGTAAGTATAAAAATATATAGTACTTTGAAGATAGCCAGCATACAGATATTATAAGTTTATTGGTTAACCTGATTTAATAAAACAATCTATGTATATCGGCAAGACATAGGCTTTTCAGAAAAAAAGTATCCATCTTAAAGATGAAAGAAGTGTTACACTCGTCCTGCTTACTCCACTGGGCACAGGGGTATGCTCTGCCTTGATTGCAGTGGAGACAGTGATGCAGAGTACTTTGCTTTTTTATTGATAACTACAGTACATCTCAGTTCTGTGTCACCGTTCCAGCTTCACAGCAGAGCCCTTCCTGCTCCTGGTTTCCAGTTTCCTCGGGCTATATCTGGGAGCTTTTGCCCACAGCTGTTTATGACAAGAAGTGTATTTTTCTTTCTTGTGAAAATTGTTTAACTTTGACAATGATGACTTTAGCAGGAAGAGAGGTACTGCGGTGCAGTGGTTTGCATTGCTGCCTTGCAACTCTAGGGTCCTGGGTTCAATTCCTGGGGTGTTATCTGCATAGTGTTTATATGTTCTCTCTGCGTTTGTGTGGGTTTCCCCCAGGTGCTCCAGTTTCTTCCTATAGTCTAAAGACATACTGTTAAATTAACTGGCTTTTGAGAAAACTGGTCCCGGTGTAAGTGAGTGTATGTTTGTGTTTGTGTCTGCTCTGCAATGGATCTGAGTCCTGTCCAGGCAAACAGTGCTCTCCGCCACCCTATAAAGCAGTTAAAAAATGGATGGATAGATTTGAGTGTATTACTATAAAAACAGACTAATGTTAAAAGGTTAAAGAGGGTTAAAATCCCAAGAGATACAATGTGTTTTGCCAAACAAAATGTGATTATAAATCAGACTAGCTTGCTTGAGTTTGGGGTAAAGAAAATATTGTTTGAATTTCTGTTTGAATAAACTATCAGAGAATATACAAAGAAATCATATATCTCTAGAATATTAACATAGACAGAGAATAGAAATTTGAGAAGCAGTACTGATGCACTGTGAAATTACTGCATGTATGTAATTACTGTTGCACTGGCACACCTGTAATGGCAGAATTGCACTTTCTTTGTCACTATTGCTTTAATGTATTTAAACCACTAAGTGATCCAGGAAAGCAAAGCCTGTGAATATACATTTTTCTTTCATAAATATTTCACTATACAGGTCTCAGTAGTATATAATTTAAATCAGGATAGAACACTAAGCACTTGCACAGTAAGAATGTACCAGGAAGCCCCTGTCCTTATTTAGTGGTTAAAGAAAGTGTTACAAAGATGCTACACAGTCTTAGAAAAACCAAGCATTCTAACCCATATATCAATCATACCCACCTACCCATAAAGTGTGGATATTATGATTTCTCCTAAAAGAAACCCTCTCAGCCTCATGTACTCTTCTTGTGTTTTTCCTGTGAGTCCTGACTGCTTTCCTGGAGCAGAGGTGTCGATTCCTCACTGGACATCTTCCAGTAGCCTGTCTGTGTCACGCAAAAGGTTAACAGGAACAGGAGCGATGCTTTAAAACAGAAAAGTAGATTATAGTACTGAGATATTTCTGAATTTAATCAGAATGGTCAGCATTTTTCCTATAGGCTTACTAGGTGGGGATACAGCTATATCACAATTTACAAAACAGTTTGTAGGATGTAATTTGTACCTGCCACATAAGTTCCAGGGTAAAGGAGAAGCAGAGCAATACGCAAATTGTAAAGTTTTGCCAGTAAGGGCACCAGCAGCGGGGCATTTCCTCCAATGTTGGTGATAATGAAAAGGTAGAAAGCCACAGAAGAAGTGCGAACTGCAGAAGGAACTAGCTCCACCAATATGGCTAAAGCAACACCAACCCACATCTCACCTGCAAACAAAATAGGAGAATTATTTATTTCCTTCACCAACACCTTCATCCGAGTAAACTTCAGCATTCCACACAATGAAAGGACTTTAAAGAAGGAACAAAATGTAAATACTCTAAGTAAAACATCCTGTACATCATTTGAGGATCAATGGAACCTACTAACCCAGAGGTATCTCACAAATATCTAAAAAAAAATGTTGAGTTGTGTGCACTGTTTTTAATCATACAACTATGAACAGAACTCTTTTTTGAAGTCTAAATCAAGATTAATTAAAAATGAATTACCCAAAGGTGGAAACATATACACTACCACTTTTTTTTGCTGTATAGACTCAGACAATCAAACATTTTCTTAGTCTCACTACCCTGTTACTCAGCATCTGGTTGTTACTAATTAAGCAGTTTAAACATCAAGGTCCATCAGACCTGAGTTGAATGAGCAAGCAGGGTTCCTGCAATTGGATTTTTTAAATATTTTTTTTCATGTGGAAAACATTGAGTAGTTTACCTATGATGTTAGCTGGAATGAGCAAGAGGAAGCAATATGGAGGGGGGAGAATTAGAACCCCAATCAAGAAAGGAGCTGCCAAAATCTGGAAATATATTAACACAACACATTTAATTACTTGGATAAATTCACTAATGAACAACTCACTTCAAATACCCCTCTATACTATACTGCTTAAAACATTATACAAAACCTAAAACCTTAATCTACTTGGACTTAATACTCCAAATGTATTTGCATTTATCAATAGTTTTTTTAGAAAACATGTTAAAATAATAAGCAAATAGTAACTTTTTTATTTAATAAGAAGTATAAGCTGTGAATTTTTTTAGCAAGTGGGCTATTATGCTAACATAGTTCAGGTGTGTAGCTGCGTCAGCATGTGTAGGCTGGAAAAGAACAAGTAATAGGTTTATTCCATGAGGAAAAGAGAAGAAAAAAAACACAAAGTTTTGACTGTGGAGCTTTCTTCAGGTGTGAGAAAGACAGGGCAGTAAGCAAAGGTAACGTAGCATATGAAAACAAAAGCTGGGAGAGAGGAGGGGCAGGAGGCAAGAGCAGGGGACAGACAGAGTTGCCAATCAGGTAGTGTGAAGTCAGAAGAGGTGTGAAATGAAACCAACAATGAATAGAGAGAATTTAGAAGAACATTTGTCTGTCATTGAGAGAGAGGGAAAGGTGTGATCCTAGCTGCAGGATAATTTTAGTTTCTGTAGTCTTTCTGATGTGGGAGTTAGGAAAACCATCTTTGAGAACACAGACGGAGAAATTAGTGTGATCATGGCCGACAGGGGTGAAATTAGAAACAACAGGCTTGGAGAAATCTTTAATCTTCACAGCCTTAACATGTTCTCTGAAACGGTCTCTTTCCTGTTTCCCCAATGTAGATGGCTGGGCATTTACTGCAAGAGATACAGTAAATAAGGTTGCTGGAGGTACAGAATGTCATCTGAGTGATCCGGAATTGTCCTGAGGGGCCTTGAATGAGTGTGATGTTAGATACGTACTTGCAGGTGATACAGCGAGCTCTGTTGCAAGGGAAAGCGCCTGGTGTGGATGGTTGCTGAGGGCAGTCAAGGAAGCTGTGAACAAGAAGGTTACGCACATTAGGTGGTTGACGATATGAGACGATGGGGTGGTGAGAAAAGAGGGCCCCAATGGAGGGATCATCCTGTAGGATGGAAAAGCTGTCGTTGATAATCCTGGGGATAGAAAGTGTGTTGGGGTGGTAGGGAAGCACCAAAGGAATACGGTTGTTATGGAGGGAGTTCCTGCTCGAGTTGATGGTCTGAGGGGTATTTTTGGCTCAGGCAAGGGCCCTGTCAATAACACTGTTAGGGTATCCTATGTTGATGGGGAAAAAACGTACATTTTGAGGGCTTGGTTCTAGAAATCGATGTTGTCGCTGCAGAGTTGTCGTAGCCAAAGGAACTGTGAAAAAGGGAGAGAGTTTTTAGTGTGTTTGGGGTGAAATGAGCTATACAGGAGACAGCTGTGTGAAACAGTGGGTTTGTAATAGACAGAAGTAGAGAGTCGGGGGTAGTTAATGGAGAAGTTGATGTCTAGAAACGGAAGACTAGTGGAAAATATGTTAACTGTATGTTTGAGGGACTGGTGGAAGTTGGTGAAATGATGCAGAAAGTGGTCAAGCTGGTTGTTAGAAGTTGTTGATAAAAACCTTTTTTATCAACAGATTAGTGGAGTCGCCATGGGCACCAGAATGGGACCCTGCTATGCCAATATTTTTGTTGGCTGGGTAGAAGAATGCTTTTTCGCTTCCTACACTGGCTTTGTCTCTGACTTCTACAAGCAATACATTGATGACTGTGTCGGTGCTACCACATGCTCTAATGCTTTTGTATCTCTTGCCTGAGGGCAGTGGGGTGAAGACCTCAATTACCCTCATGGGTAATTGTCCTCAGTGATGGCAAGAATTCTACCACGGCAGCAGTCCTACTAGAGCTGTTTAATCTCAGTGAGACCACAGCCGATGATCTTCTGGGCCACATTCACCATAATGCCTTTCTTTCTCGAGAAGAGGTGATCCCCTTGGTGAGGATGCTCTCAATGGTGCAGCGGTAGAAGTTCACCAACACAGGTACTGGCATCCCCCCATTGTTTGAGGCACCTCAAGAAATAAAGGCGTTGCTGAGCCTTCTTCAAGATAGAGTCCATGTGCCAGTCCA